TGGGCACCGGTTCAAATCCTGGCTGTTCCACTTCTGATCCAGCTCCCTGCTAATGTGCCTGGGAAAGCAGTGGGAGATGGCCAAAGTCCTTGAGCACCTGCACCCATATGGGAGACCTGGAAGTATCTTCTGGCTCCTGGCTTTGGATCAGCTCAGTTCCTGCCTTTGCAGCCATTTGAGAGTAAGCCAGCAGATGGAAGAACTCTCTCTCTGTTTCTGTTTCTCTCTCTGTAACTCTTTCAAATAAATAAATAAATCTTAAAAAAAAAAAGACTTACCTCTCCAACTAGACTGTAAGCTGCTTTTGCTTTTAAGATTTCTTTATTTGAAAGAAGAATGATACAGAGAGAGAAAGAGAGAGGGAGAGAATCTTTCATCTACTCGTTCACTTTTTTTTTTTTTAAGATTTTTTTATTTATTTGAGAGGTAGAGTTACAGAGAGGAGAGACAGAGAGAAAGGTCTTCCATCTGCTGGTTCACTCCCCAAATGGCCAGAATGGCTGGACCTGGGCCAATCTGAAGCCAGGAGGCAGGGGCTTCTTTTGGGTCTCCCATGTGGGTGCAGGGGCCCAAGGACTTGGGTCATCTTCTACTGCTTTCCCAGGACACAGCAGACAGCTGGATTGAAGAGAAGCAGCTGGGACATGAACCGGTGCCCACATGGAATGCTGGCACCACAGGAGGAGGCTTTACCTGCTATACCACAGTGCCAGCCCCTGGTTCACTTCTTAAACGGCCTCAATGCCCTGGGCCATTTCAGGCCAAAGCCAGGAGCCCACATGGATGGCAGGGCCCCAAGTATGTGTGCCATCTTCTGCTACCTTCCCAGAGAGCTGGTTGAAAGTGGAGCAGTTGGGGCCAGCGCCGTGGCTCAATAGGCTAATCCTCCGCCTTACGGCACCGGCACACCAGGTTCTGGTCCCGGTTGCCCCTCTTCCAGGCCAGCTCTCTGCTGTGGTCCTGGAGTGCAGTGGAGGATGGCCCAAGTCCTTGGGCGCTGCACCCGCATGGGAGACCAGGAAAAGCACCTGGCTCCTGGCTTTGGATCAGCGTGATGCGCCGGCCTCAGCCCACCGGCCGCGGCGGCCATTGGAGGGTGAACCAATGGCAAAAGGAAGACCTTTGTCTCTCTCTCTCTCTCTCTCTCTCTCACTGTCCACTCTGCCTGTCAAAAATAAAAAAAATAAAAAATAAAAAAAGAAAGTGGAGCAGCCGGGACTCCAAAGTGGTGCTCTGATATGGGATGCCGGTGTTGCAGGTAGCAGCTCCACTCACTGCGTCACAAAACTAACCCCAAGTTTCTTGAGGACAAGGACCACACCCCAAACATGGCAAGGAAACCTGAGACACGGTCAGATTCCCTAGGACAGAACTCATGCAATGAACCTGCCTGTAGACCTGTGCACGCACATGGATCTGGGGTTCGACAGATAACTGCTTGCACTGTTGGTTACAACACCGGGGCGGCCCCTGCCCTGCACACGTCTGCTGGCAGGTGCATTGTGGTGTGTTAGAGGCCTGGTGAGCACTGCCTCCACAAACACCTATGGACTAGGTGGAATGGAAGAGGTGCTGGAACACGGCAGGCAGCGCTATGGCAGAATTGGGACCAGCGGGGCAGGGCGTTAGGTTGGGGCTGGGGTCCCCACTTCAAGCTGTTGCTCCCTCTCTTCTGGCAGAGCCTGTCATCCACTGTGACCCTGGAGCACTCGTCCCTCCCTCCTGGAGTCCACATCTCTTATGAATCCCAGTGTGGGGGTTCCAAGGAGAGGGAGGGCGAGGCTGGGCACCGAGGGCAGTGCAACAACGTCCAAATCAACCAGATGGTGAGAGCCAGCCAGGCTGGGCACCGGGGAGGTGTGGGGAGTGGGCGTGGAATGCAGGCAGGAAAAGACAGGGAGCAGGCACTGAGAACAGGGTGGGAGCGTGGGGTCGCCAGCCCCCCATCCGTCCTGAGCTTTAATGCATGGCTCCTTCAAAGTGGGTATCCAGGGCATGGTGTTAGCAGACTAGTCCTTGGCCTACAAAGGGGTTGGGTTCTGGGCGGTTAGTGGGCCTGGGGTGAGTGCGTGTGTGACGTGGCCTGAACTCCTGCCCACCCTGCCTTCAGGTGAATTTCTGGGTTACCTTGCAAGCTACTGCCTGCCTCCAGGAGCCCCACCTGCTGAGGCTCCGGGCCCTCGGCTTCTCGGAGGAGCTGACTGTGGAGCTGCACACGCTGTGTGACTGTAACTGCAGCGACACCCAGCCCCAGGCTCCACACTGCAGCCATGGCCAGGGGGACCTGCAATGCGGGGTGTGCCGGTGAGGGCCTCCTCTTCCCTTCACCACCTGGCTCTCCACCCCCCACCTCCAGGGACCAACCCTGGCTCCCATCCTCCCCCTGGAGTCATATGTCACGCCCTGGAGCTGTGCAGATCCGCCCAGGCATCTCTTTCTTGCCCCTTGGCGCTCACTGTACTAACTCCTCTCCCGCACTCTCTTGAGAACTTGGGTTTGGAAGATCGCGCAAGAGATGGGCAGGGACGGTTAAGCCCTCTAAGCCGCCTCTTTCCTCCACCTTCGCCTCCCAGGTGCGCAGCCGGCCGCCTGGGCCGGCTCTGTGAGTGCTCGGAGGCTGAGCTCTCGTCTCTTGATCTGGAAGCTGGGTGCCGGGCCCCCAATGGGACAGGGCCCCTGTGCAGCGGGAAGGGACAGTGCCAGTGTGGGCGCTGCAGCTGCAGTGGACAGAGCTCCGGGCGTCTGTGCGAGTGTGACGATGCCAGCTGTGAGCGGCATGAGGGCATCCTCTGTGGAGGTAACTGGAGCCTTGAGATGGGCAGGGGCAGCGTGGTCTCCCCCAGGGGCATTCAGACTCTGGGTGTCACACCACTGAGCCAAGCAAGTTTGGAGGCTGGAGAGGGACGGGGTGCATGGCCTGCGTGGGGGAGTGCATCTGTCACCCTGCCTGTGCCTCTACCCCAGGTTTTGGCCGCTGTCAGTGTGGCGTGTGTTACTGCCATGCCAACCGCACGGGCAGAGCGTGTGAGTGCAGCAGGGACACGGACAACTGTGTTGGTCCTGAGGGAGGACTCTGCAGTGGGCACGGTCACTGCAAATGCAACCGTTGCCAGTGCTTGGACGGCTACTACGGCGCTCTGTGTGACCAATGCCCAGGCTGCAAGACACCGTGTGAGAGACACAGGTGAGGCCCAGGGGCTTGCATCTTGGGAGTGGAAGGGGGGCTGACAGAGCCTGCTGAACCCCTCCTGCCTGCCCGCCCGCGGTGAACGTTAATGCATTGGCCTCCACGGACAGGGACTGTGCGGAGTGCGGGGCCTTCGGGACTGGTCCCCTGGCCTCCAACTGCAGCACGGCTTGTGCCCATGCCAATGTGACGCTGGCTTTGGCTCCCATCTTGGACGATGGCTGGTGCAAAGACAGGACCCTGGACAACCAGTTGTTCTTCTTCCTGGTGGAGCACGAGGCTGGGGGCAGCGTCGTGCTTCGAGTGAGCCCCCTAGAGGGTAAGTGGGCAAAGGGGTTGTGCACCTGGCAAGTGGAGCCCCGCGTTCATCAGGTGGGGTCTCGTTCATCAGGTGGGGGCTCAGGCTTCTGGCCGCAAGTGCAAGGGCAGGGCGGGATGGGGGAAGCCAGTGGAGCAGGCCCAGGCCCTGGGCAGTGAGGACAAGCTCAGGCCCTGCTGTTTCCTCTGCTTTCAGTGGGACATGGCCCGGCCAGGGAGGCTGGTTCATCTGTCCTGTTTTTCTCACAGGGGGCGCGGACCACACAAAGACCATCGTGCTGGGCTGCGTAGGGGGCATCGTGGCGGTGGGACTGGTGCTGGTCCTGGCTTATCGGCTGTTGGTGGAGATCTATGACCGCCGGGAGTTCAATCGCTTCGAGAAGGAGCGGCAGCAACTCAACTGGAATCAGGTGAGGCGGCGGCCCGCTACCTGGGCTGCAGTGCCCGGGTGGGTCCTTCTCCCTCTCCACCCCCACGAGCTCCTAGGATCCTGCTCCTGTTCCAGGGTGGCCTCCTAGGACTAGGTGAGGGGCAAGGGCACCTGGACTTGCCCTCACCCCTGGGCCTCTCCCCTCAGGACAACAACCCTCTCTACAGAAGTGCCGTCACGACCACCATCAACCCGCGCTTCCAGGAGCCCGAGAGGCCTCTTCTCTGAGGCAGCAGCCAGGTAGGGGCCAACGCGCCCCGTCAGCGGCTGCCGCCTGGATTCCCTGCCTCGCACTCTACAGTACAGAGACTCATCTCACACCACAGCCGTCACCTGCCCTCTGCGCCAGAGGCCAAAGTGGGCCACTCCTCTTGCCACCTGAGGGCAGGCTGGTTCTCAAACTGGACCCTGGGGGGAACACCGGGTACACTGCCTGGCAAACAGCCGAGCGCCAACTCAGCCCAGGGGCAGGCTCCGAGCGCTCAGGTGGTGCAGGCCCGTGGAGGCCACAGACCACACTGGGGAGCTGGTGGCTCACCCGGTTCTGTCCTGCTGTGAACGCTACCTTGGCCGGCTTTCCCTTCCACACGGTCCTCTGCAGAGCGGGGAATCTTACCGGTGGCTTATACGGGCTGCTGTTGTGGTGCGAAGGGTCAGCTGTTGCTTGCCCCACTGCTCCACTTCCAATCCAGTGCCCTGCTGATACCTGGGAAAGCAGCAGCGAATGGCCTGAGTCCTTGGGCCCCCGCCACCCACGTGGGAGACCTGGAAGACGCTCCTGGCTTTGGTCTGGCCCAGTCCTGGCTGTGTGGCCATTTGATAGTGAAGATCCCATTCTGTCTCCCTTGTCACCCTACCTTTCAAAGTAAAATCGTTTACAAAAATGGTTTATAGAGTGCTGGAAGTTGTGGGGCAGTTACCTTCAGGTGGGGAGGGGGACATTCAAACCACTCTGCCTCCAGGGAAGAACACTGCCCACAGGATACTAAGTCTTCCCGAGCAGGAGATAGGACGTAGAAAAGCCCCACTTCCTTTTTATTTAAATACCCTAAATATATCACAACGGAACATACACTGCACTTTAATGGTAAAAAGATACAAGTTTATAACATCTTATAAAAACTACCATTTAAAAGTGATCTTGTTCATCTGATATTTCCCTCCCCAATAGCAAAATAAGTATATTAAAAAAAAAGGGGGGGGGGTAGGAGGGGCTATGGAAGGGGGACGCCCCCGGGCGGCAGCAGAGGCAGAGCATCTGGGGAGGGGGACAGTCAAGGTGGGCTCTGCTCACCTATCCTCCAGTGTCAAGCCATGGGGCACAGTCAGTAGCTAAGTGATGACGAGAGGCTGCGGGGGTGGCTGGAGGGGAGGGGTGCTGGCAGGGCGTGGGGCAGTAGCCCACCCAGGGACTGGCACCACTTTCTCCCAGGTCCCATTCCACATCCTGGTGTGAGAGCTGCCCTGCCTCCACCTACCCTCACCCCAAACATACCTGAGGCATCTTTCCAGTGCTAGGCTCACCCCAGCCAAGGGGCAAGGGGAGGCACTGGGCCCAGGAGCCTGTGCTGCCATCTTGGTCTGGGTTTCCTGGGGTGTGAGTGGGGCTCCTGGGCCCCAGGCACTCCTCTGCTCCTCTCTCCCATGTTTGCTGCCCCAGGACATTTGCATGCCAGCAACCAAACTGCCCTCCTGCTGTGAGGCTCCCCCACTCCCAAGCCAGGGCGGAGGAGCTCTGGCACAGCCATGTGCAGGCACAAGTCCCCTCCCTCCTACCCACCCAGTCAGGCAGGGAGCCAAGGCCTGCAGGGGCCAGGGCACATTCTGATTGAGCACACCTATGCACACATGGGGTCATAGGTCACCCCCATGTTGCTCCTCACACCCTTCCCCCCCAAACAGTGGCACTCCAAGTGGCAGGGAGTGAGACCTCCTATTTTCAAAAGCACTTTTGGAGGGCAATTTCTAAATGCAGCCTTCCTAGGAGTGGCAGAAAAACCTAACAGGGAGAGAGAGATGCCCTGGGTGCAGGGCCCACAACGCAGGCCTGAGCTGGGCCCAGAACACACTGCCCAGCGCCTCCCCAAGGAGGAAGTCTAAAGGGCGCCTCATCTCCTTTTCCCCTGACACTCACACCTCAGAGGGTGCAGCCCTCCTGGAATAGGTAGCAGCCAGGTGTCGGGGCCACTGCGCCCTTGCCCCCCATGCATGCAGGAGGCTGCTGCACATGGCCTACGCCCCCAGCCTGCGTGCAGCTTCTCTCAGTCTCCATGATTCTGTCTAAGACAGCCCTCCCCACACAGGTCAGGGCAGGCCACAGTGGTCAACCAAACTCCAGAACCTCCCGTAAGGATCCTTTCTTTAGCAGGAACAAAGAGGGTTTTTAATTTCACCTTAAAAATGTCACGTTCGCAAGCCGTGGTTTGGGTGAGGACCACCCTACCACCAGCCTGCGCAATCAACCTTAATAAACCCCTCCAAAACAAAGTCCCTCAGCTCCTGCTGGGACATCAAGCACCCTTCAGATGTGGAGGGGGGGAGGGGGCTCAGTCAGCCCCTAAGCTGAGGGCCAGAGAAGGGTCTGGCTCAGTAGCAGGCCTTCTCCTCCAAGCACACAAACACAAGCACTCACAAAACTACACACTGACGCACACCTGATCGCTTTTTTCGGGGTGCACAGCATGCTGGTGCTGGGGCAGAGGAGCCGAGCACAGCTGAGAAGGCGGCCCCCATGAGGCTCCATGCCCAGCACTCCTTGGCCCACTCGCCGTCCAGAGGGAAGCCCCATCCTGCTCTTTGGGACCGAAGGCCAGACCCCTCTCTCCTACCTGAACACAGTGATGGGACTTGGGCATTCAACCGTCACATCGGGGGACGCCGAACTCCTCTGTTTCTCCGACAGCTGTTAGCCGATGCGGGACCGGGCTCGGGTCTCCCCCAGGAGGGCCCAAGGACAGAGAACCCACTCTGACATCCTGCTCAACCTGTCTGGCTGCAGGACTCAACGGCAGCGAGGTAGCCACATATTTTCTCCAAGACCACTTGCCCAAAGAGAGAGGGGAAGGGCATCCCGGGACTTTCTCTCCCAAGTTTCCTCCAAAAGGCACTTGAGCTGACCCCTGGGGTACTCCCAGTGTGGCACGGGCTGTCACAGCACCCACGGGCACAGCTCCAGCTCTTCCCTGGAGGACGGAAGAGGTGCCATACATGGTTTTTGGATCCGGCCTGAGTCTGCTCCTCCTACTGTTCTTCCTCTCACCTCTACAGTGTATAAGAAGGCCAAAGTGAGCTCAGTTGCCATCCCTGAACCTATTCCCCCTCACCAAGGTGAGGCGCAGGGCCGCGGACACCGAGGAGCTACTGCAGCTAACTGAAGACTGAATTCTGGGGAGGGCTGCACCAGCCACAGTCCCTGCCCTGGGCCAGGACTCCACGCCTCCAGGCTGCCTGCATACACAGTTCACCTGCTGAAACTGCTTTGAGATCAACAGAAACAAGAACAGAACACACACACACACACACACACCCTCCCCCAGTCTTTTCCACGCCAGCTGCCAGCTGCAGTCCACGGCTGTGGGAGCCACGCTTCATTCTTGGTCCTGTACCTCGAGTCCCCACTGCTGACTGCAGTCAAGGGTCCAGGGACTGGCTCTGCCACCCAGGAATGCTGCAGGAACTTCCCCGAGATACGCGGAGTCTCAGATTAGTTACAGAGCTGACGCTCTGGGGCCACTGTGCCCTGATCCACGCTTCTGGTCTCCAGGGTCCACGTCTTCAGGAGGGGACAGGTTCAGATCGGGTGGTGGTGGGACCATCAGACCAGAGGGGGTGCACTCGTCAGCAGATTCTTCCGCTCACTCCCACCACCCAGGGCCCCTTGCGCCTAGAGAGAGAACTGCCCGTCGGAAGTCTTGGACTGGCACCCTTGGCACATCCGTTTGTGTCTGAGTAATCGATCTGTCCGAGAAAAACACTGAGAAGAAAGCGAGGGTTAAGCATCTGAGAAGAGAAACTGGACTCCCCGTGAGCTGGCTCCTCCCCGACGGGGGCACAGGTCAGAGTCCACGTCCCCCAGTACGTGCACAGATGGCACGAATGCACTGCGGTTGAGCGCGGGCTCTGGAGCCAGAGCGCCGGCTCAGTATGACCTTTGGCAAGTTACCCAGCCTCTACACTTCTCCGCACGAGACTACAGGCAGCTCCTCAGCCTGGCTGGAATCTGATGAGTCCCTATCCCCAGGCAGGTACAGGGCCTGGGGCTGAGGACGGCGCAGCATCAGAGGGTGAAGCTTCAGCCCTCTGGGAGCTCTCGTCCGGGGTTTGCAGAGTTAACGCCAGTGTGGAGCAATGCCTGGGATCCAGCACAGCACCAGGAAGTGTTTGCTTTTATCGTTCCCCATCTCTTGCTCTCGTCTGGTCCTGGCACTTACATTCTCAGCAGAGCAGATTCAGACCCCAGGGCAACGATTTTATCTCTTCCTGCAGAGTCCACGACTCTGAAGCTGGACCGGATCCTGGCTCTGCCTCTGACCTGCTCTGTCCTTGGGAGACAAGGACAACACAGTGTCCGCACGGAGCTAGTGCAATGGGCCCATCAAGCATCTGTCAAACACGTTCTCACTGCGCCTGGCAGTCAGTGCTCGAGAAACGCGACTATGACTATTTTTATAATCCTCTAGGGGTCCTCTCCTGTGAGCAGCTGCCTGGAGCCGGGGCTGGACCTTCCCCCCGGGGCTAACACTGTGAGGAACGCCTGGTGGTCCGGAGAGCAGGCAGCAGGCAGGCCCTGGTGCACGTGCGAGCCTTACCTGGTGACACCGCTCACACTGGTACGGCTTCTCGCCACTGTGCACGCGCTTGTGGCGCTCCAGATGGTACTTCTGGATGAAGCGCATATCACAGACGTCACACTCGAACGGCTTCTCACCTGGCCCCGGTGGGGAGAGAAGTGGACATCAGGCGTCACACACGCAGCAACTGCGCTCCAGGGACTTTTACTCGTAGCCATGTGCAGACCCCGAGGCTACCATAAACGGGGAGGGGACTCCCAAGCTGCTGGTCTCAGCGACCCCAGGCCCTGAGCCACGCGATTCTCTTCCTCATCCCTCCATCTCCAGCATCTGCCCTTCACGAAATGCCACCGAGCTCCCCAGACACAGAGCGCGCGCTCCCCCACTCCCCGTGCCCGCAGCAGGAACGCACCAGTGTGAATGAGGATGTGCCTCTTGAGGTGGTAACTGCTCCGGAAGGCGCCAAAGCAGTGTTCGCAAGTGAAATTCTTGGGAATCTTTACTTGGAAAGAACCATTCTGCTCCACTACCACCACCTGCGGGCACCAGAGCCAGGTCAGCAGGTTCTCCCTCTGTCCCCCTCTAGCCAATGGACAAAGCAGCTTTCTAATGCTGTCTAGAGCTGCCACCATCTTCCACACTCCTGATAGTTAAGGGAGCCTCTGGGAAGGAAATGGAGTGGGTAAGCTCTGCTTTGGGGTGGGCACTGTGGCGTGGCAGGCTAAGCCATGGGGGCAGCGTGGGTGGGGCCTACACTCTCACACTCAGCTCTCGGGTCTGGCCTGAGCCGAAGTCTCTCCAACCTACGCCAAGGGTGCTTCGGTGAGGGCAGAGGTGGCCGCGAGACGAGACTGGGGGGAGCAGCAGTGAGGGGCCACGGCATCCTCGGGGGCCTCTGGGCAATCGGTGCCAGTCCAGGGGACAACCCCATTACCTGCCTTTTTAACAGTCTTTTTTGAATGGGAGGCCTCAGCCAAGCTGTCGTCGTCTTTGCGGTTCCGGGACTTCTCGCTGTCTTTCCGATGGCCCTTCAAAGACAAATCAAACCCAAACTCACAGTCCACACAGGCCACCCGACGGGAGCCCACGCTTGCTGAGGGCTTGTCAAGAGGGCAAGGCGCAGGCCCCAAAGGTTTGGGGAAAGCAGCACCCACGTCCTCTCCCTGCACCTGAATCTTGAGAGGTCTCAGGTACAGCAGCGTCTCCCTCAGCTTTCTAAAGCACCCCCACGCGCTCGGCCCCCTCTCCCCGCTTCCCCGGCTTGCTGGCACACGGCCTGCGCTGTACCTGACTGGAGCACCTCAGCACGTCGGGGCTGACTGCGCGCTCGCCGTTCTCGGCCTGCTTGCTGGCAATCTGGCTCAGCAGCATCTTCTTGCTGGCCGCAGTGGGAACCAGACTCACGCCTGCCAAGCCTTCACAAGCCAGGAGACTCGCCTGGGTGGAAAGGAGAGGAGGTGTCAGACTGCCTGGCAGGGGCCGCCACCCTCTCCAGATCCCCCTCGCTCGCCCGGCCACAAACTGCTTCTCTGGGGGCTGGTCCTCCATGCTGCCCAGCCTTGCGTCCTACAGGGTCCCCTCCCCTGCCTCACTGGCAACTACGCACTCATTCCGCTGTCCTTCGGCATCTGAACACACATCAAGTGACTAACCGAGCACCACTGCCACGGCTGTCAGAAGCAGAGCCCAGGGCCAGGCTGCGTGCGGGGCTTGCTGTCACCTTCAAGGTCTCTCTGCGCCTTGCAGTGAGTGGGTATGGGGGCTCTGTCCAGCTGACACAGTGACCTGGGAGAGCCCCAGGGGATCCCTGTCTGTCCTCACTCAACAGCCCTCAGCCTCAGAGCCCTCTTCTGATGGGCAGATCCTGCTGCTGCCGGCTGTGCATTCTATCGTGATTCCACTGATCAACATGAGACCATTTTTCTCCTTAGATCTTAAATTCCCCAAGTGTCCTCAGTTATAGCAGATACAGAAACTAAACCACCTAGAAGGATCCCAGTGTTGGATATATGATTTCTCCTGATCCCTACCCCCCAGACCACTGACACCTGTGCATCTATGTCCACATTTCTCTGTATTCCCTAACTCGGGCAAGTAAGGTTTAAACAAATAACCTGGTTTCGCTGTTGAATTTTCCAAATTGTTTAGCCGGCCTTAGAGAACACACTTTTCTTTACCGAAGAGAAGCCTGTTACAAACAGCTGCTCAGTAACCCCCCAAATTTATGAAGAAATTCCTTCTGGATGCTCGGCACACCTGGGCCGCTTCTGCCCCTTGCAGGGACTCCGTGGGGTCCAAGGTGCAGAGCGATGCGCCTCGGCTCTGCTGTGAGCCCTGAGCAGCCTCGGGCGGGGGTCTCCACCTTCCATAGCCTCAGCTTCCCTGAGAAGCCACCTGTCCTGGTGACCGTCCTTGCAGGGTTACCAGGCATGACTGCTCGGCGGTGCCCACCCCGGTAAGCGCTCTGACAGGGCATGAGCGCGCAGCACACTGTGAGGTGGGCACGGGAGGGAGCGGAGGCAGTGGAAGGCTCCTCTGTGCACGCCGGAGCAGCTGGAGGAAAGCCTGCTTTAACTGCGATCCTGGCTCCTGTTCCATCCTGGAACACTTCCGCGGGCCGACCCCTGGGAGGAAGCTGGGGAGAGCCTTGGAGCCTCTCTGCCCAGACACCTGAAGCAGCCTGTCTGGTCCCTCTCTCTCCACCTCCACACCCATAGGCGCTCTGCTGCCTGGCACTCTTCAGGGAGTCCCCAATCCCTGTGGAGTGAAGTCTACTTCCTTTGCAAGGCCTAAGACGCTCTTGGGTCACACTCGGCTTAGTTCTCCAGGAAGCAGCCCTTCCACACTCCCATTCTCCAATCTCCCCAGCTAGCCCCACCTAATCCTTCTACTGCTAACCCCCAAACTGAGCACCCCGGCCTCACAGGCCTCGTACACTCCCGCCCACCGTCTCCCTCATCTAGGCGCCCTTCTCCGCTCGCTTCACTGGCAAAACCCCGCACCTCCTTCAAGCTTCCTCTGTGATGCGTCTGCCTAGGCCGGCCGGCTAGGCCCTACGCATGGTGCTGTCACCACACAAACACAAACCAGCCTGTCTCTGCGTCCCTTTCCCCCACCCCAGCTAGCCTGGAAGCTTGCTGGGGACAAGGACTGTTGTATTCCTAGCACAATGCCTTGCGTGTCACAGCAGCCTCAACAGATTCCTGCTAGAAAAACAACACACGGCATCCACTAGACCACTCACTCCCTTACGCCCCTGGGCACTTCATGTACCAAGCGTCAAGGGAGTGTGGCTTCAGGAAGGTTCCTGTGATGCAACAAAGCCAACCTCCTCCATCTGACTGGAAGCCCCCTGCAGGCAGGGGCTGTGGCCTGTCTCCTCTCCTTCCTCTAGGTCTCCCCCGGGGGTGTTTAATACAGAGCTTGGCTCACTGGGGTTGGCCACTACATGGACTAAGGCAGCCTTCAAGAGTAAAACTGTGGAGGAGATTTTACCTGAGCCATGCTGAATTCTCACTTAACACAACCACAGTCCGGGCGCTCCTCGGGACCCTGCCGGCTGCAGAACTGTCACCAAATCCGCGTGACAGCTCCCTCGGGCCCCTTCAGCCCTGCTGCCATATTGAACTGCCAGCGTCTTCAAACCGAACTCCGGGTGTCCGCCCAAGCAGGGAGCAGAGGTGTTCCAAGAACCCCTGGTCTATTGTGTGCAGAGACAGAGGGTCTGCCAGCCCTGGTCTGCCAGTTGAGTTCTCCCGCTGAACTTCTCCCAACTGCTCCGGAAACCTGAAACCAGACAGGGAGATGGGGCCCGTTGAGTGCGACAATCCTCCGGCCCCGGAACGTGTGAAACAAACGCTCAGCTTCTCCGCCGGGCGCTTCCTGGGAAGCTCGCACAGAGGACAAGAGGGTTCAACTTTTCTAGGTCAGAAGGAGACGCTGGTCTCTGGGGCGAGGAGGGGCGGTCACGGCACCCAAAGTGACTGGGGCCTCCTAACAGAGGGACTCTGCCAACAGGGCAACTGCCTGGATGTACCAACTTAGGAATGGAAGGAGGGGGCGGAGGCCCTTCGGGGCCTTTTTGCCAAGTGGGCACGCCCGCAAACCTTGCACTCTGCAGAGGCGGCCGGACTGGGCTGGAGGAAGGCTCGGCGGGGGCCCTCGCCGGGGCGCTGGACGACGGGCGGAAACCCACGGCAGTGCCTACACGTGCGCCTTCCCCGCGTCTTGCCCTAAGGTACGGAGGGGGCCGCGGACGTGGAGGGCGGCCCGGCAGAGCCCGGCGGAGCCCGGCGCGACGCGACGCGCGCTCACCCTCCCGCCAGCCCGCCCGCCGCACACCCCGGGAGCCCAGGGCCCCGGGAGCGCCGACGGCGCGCGTGCTCGCGCCCGCGTCCCCCTCCGAGCGAGCCCCTTCTCCCGGGCCGGGCGCGCGCGCGCGAGGGCCCTTCCCTTCCCCCGGGAGCCCCCTCCCTCCGCCACGCGCCCCTCCTCCCTTCCCCTCCCCCTTCCCGCGCGGCGCCCCACGGCCTGCGAGCTGCCGAAGCGCTGCCGTCTGTCTTGGCGACGCGGCGCCCCCCGACGCGCGCTCCTACCTGCCGGGCGCGGGGCTCCCGCCGCCTCCCGTGCCTCCGCCAGGCCCCAGCACACCCTGCCAAGCCCGCGGCCGCCGCTGCCCCCGCCGGGACCGAGGCAAGTTTACAAACACCAACCCGGGGCGCGTTTCCCCGGAAGCACTTCCCCCTCCCCCTCGCCCTCGCCGCCGAGCGGCCACATCCACTTCCGGGCTCCGGAGCCCGGACAGGCGGGGTGGGGGATGGCCTCGGAGGGGGTGAGGCTGGGGACGTACGGAGGGGTGCAGCTGGCGAGGGGGCGGGGCCGGCGCGCGGGAGGATGGGAGGAGGCAGGCCCGGGCGGCGCGTGCGCCGTGGCGCGGGGGCGATGCCTCAGCCGCCATCTTGACTGAGGGCAGGGACGTTGGGAGATAAGTAGAACCCGGAATAGTTCGAACCCGATCTTTCCGTCGGGCTGGTATTGGGGTCAGCTGGGGGAGGAGCGATTTTCTTTGCTCACTTCTGCCCTGTTAGCGCCGACCGTAACCTGAAAACGGGTGTCTTCTCAGAGGCCTGCCTTGCAACACTGGCCCGAGGCGCTGCTTGCCGAAGGCACGGCCCGGTGGCCTGGATGAGGCCCTGGGACTCCCCTCAGGGAGGGAGACCTGGTCTCGCAGGCTGGCCCCGGGGCCGGGCTGCAGTAGGAGATGGAACCTTGGGCCGGTCTTTACATTCCGCCCCCAGCCTGAGCCACTGGGCAGGGCTCTGCTGTCGGTGGGAGAGGAAGCCTCGGTTCCCGTTTAGGCCGGGTTTCTGCGGTCGGTGCATCAGGGACTTAGTGGCGATGCCAAAGGGAAAACGGCGAGGATTCCTAGCCTCGTCCTGGGCACACATTTCATTTCCTTCCGCTCTTCGATTTTACTCGTGGGAAGCAAGTTCCCTGTGAGCTTAGGATCATCAAAACACCGACATAAAATGGAAACAAAGTCACCAGAAATAAGCTTTCATTTTTCTTTTTTAAGATTGATTGATTTTGAAAGTTACAGAGAGAGGAAGAGACACAGAGAGGTCTTCCATCCGCTGATTCACTCCCCAGATGGCCACAGCGCCGAGAGCTGCGCCCAACCGAAGCCAGGAGCCAGGAGCTGCTTCCGTGTCTCCCCCGCGGTTGCAGGGGCCTAATTGGGTCAACCTCTGCTGCTTTCCCAGGCCATAGCAGAGAGCTGGATGGGAAGAGGAGCAGTCAGGAGTCGAACCGGCACCCACATGGGATGCCAGCGGTGCAGGCGGAGGCCTTACCCGCCACGCCACAACGCCAGTTCCAGGTTTTTAATTCTTAAAAAAAAAAATAGTTCATACTTACTTTTACAAATCCACACAATACAAAAATACAGAAGGAAGAAAATGGTTAGTCTCCCTGTCTGCTGTCCTCTGGTACTTCTCAAAGGAAGCGTTCTTGTCAGTTTGGTGTAACAGATACCTCCAGAATTTGCCCTGTGTCCCACACAAGTGTTTCTTCCCTTTAGTATGTATTTATTGAGCTCGTACAACATGTCTCCCAGTATATGTTCGACATCTGAGACAGTTCCTGTTTTAAGAACTGCTGTGGCCGGCGCCGCGGCTCACTAGGCTAATCCTCTGCCTAGCGGCTCCGGCACACCGGGTTCTAGTCCTGGTCGGGGCGCTGGATTCTGTCCCAGTTGCCCCTCTTCCAGGCCAGCTCTCTGCTGTGGCCAGGGAGTGCAGTGGAGGATGGCCCAAGTGCTTGGGCCCTGCACCCCATGAGAGACCAGGAGAAGCACCTGGCTCCTGGCTTCGGATCAGTGCGGTGCGCCGGCCGCAGCGGCCATTGAGGGGTGAACCAACGCCAAAGGAAGACCTTTCTCTCTGTCTTTCTCTCTCACTGTCCACTCTGCCTGTCCAAAAAAAAAAAAAAAAAAAAAAAAGAACTGCTGTATAGTATTCCACCTTGGGTTTGTGCTTTGCTTTGTCCAGTTCCGTCGTGGTAAATATTTAAGTTCCAGTCTTTTTGCCTCGTGAGTGTTACCCCTTTGCACTTGTAGATAGATTTGTAGATAGGATGGGTGGCTTTAAAATTTTAATAGATTCTGTGAAATTGAGTTCCAAAGTTTGTAACAACTCAGAGGCTCATTCAAAACCACATGTGAGTCTCTCTCTTTTTTTTTTTTTTTTTTTTGACAGGCAGAGTGGACAGTGAGAGAGGAGAGAGACAGAGAGAAAGGTCTTCCTTTGCTGTTGGTTCACCCTCTAATGGCCGCAACGGCCTGCGCACCGCGCTGATCTGAAGCCAGGAGCCAGGTGCTTCTCCTGGTCTCCCATGGGGTGCAGGGCCCAAGCACTTGGGCCATCCTCCACTGCACTCCCTGGCCACAGCAGAGAGCTGGCCTGGAAGAGGGGCAACCGGGACAGAATCTGGCACCCCAACCGGGACTAGAACCCGGTGTGCCGGTGCCACAGGCAGAGGATTAGCCTAGTGAGCCGCAACGCTGGCCCACATGTGAGTCTTCCCATTTTTTACATCCTTGGCAATACTGGGTACCATGAATTTTCTTACATAGTTACTGGTGAAAAATAGTATTTCCTTGTTTTAACTTGCATGGTATTCATACTGAAGTTAAGCCTGTCATTGCTTTTTTTTTTTTAATATTTTTTTATTTATTTGAAAGACAGAGTTAGAGAAAAAGAGAGAGAGAAGTCTTCCATTTGCTTGGTTCACTCCCCAAGTAGCTGCAATGGCCGGAGCTGAGCCAATCCGAAGCCAGGAGCTTCTTCTTGGTGTCCCACACAGGTGCAGGAGCCCAAGGACTTGGGCCATCTTCTACTGCTTTCCCAGGCCATAGCAGAGAGCTGGATCGGAAGTGGAGCAGCTGGAACTTGAACCAGTGCCCATACTGGATGTTGGCACTGCAGGCCAGGTCTTTAACCCACTGTGCCACAGCGCCGGCCCTCTCATTGCTTTTTAACCATTTAAGTTGCTTTTGTAAATTGTCCGCTCATAGCATTTACTCATTGAAAAAGTAGATCATTTGTCATTTTTGATTGTTAGAAATCTTCTTTATTTTTTGTCATCAGTCATTTAAGATATTTTCTCTTTGTTTACATTTGTTTTTCAACCTTTTTTGAGAGCAAAAATCATACTGTCTTGGAAAATAGTTAAAACATTCCCATCAAAGGTAGGAACAAGTCAGGAATGTTTACCATTAAAACTAATGTTCTTTTCTATGTCAGTTAAAAATAAAATAAAGCTTATAAAAATGCTAGTATCCCACTAGAGTTCTTGGCCATTCAAAACTGTCATCATTTTCATATGATTTATTCATTTACAAAGATAAATGATTACAACATATTAAAACTGGAAAGTTTGCCAACATGACCAATGTAAAATTAATGAGCGAGGGGCCGGCGCTGTGACGTAGCAGGTAAAGCCACCGCCTGCAGTGCCGACATCCCATATGGGTGCTGGTTTGAGTCCCGGCTGCTCCACTTCCAATCCAGCTCTCTGCTGTGGCCTGGGAAAGCAGTGGAAGATGGCCCAAGTCCTTGGGCCCCTGCACCCAAGTGGGAGACCCAGAAGAAGCTCCTGGTTCCTGGCTTTGGATGGGCCCAGCTTTGGCTGTTGTGGCCATTTGGGTAGTGAACCAGTAATTAGAAGATCTCTCTCCCTTTCTGTCTCTGAAACTTTGCCTTTCAAATAAATAAATCTTTAAAAAGCACAAATTATATAAAGTATAAAGACGATATGAATAATACTCATTCACAATAGAAATATTACATTTCTAGATAAAAAATTAGTGGAAAACTGCTATATATTCAGAAAACCATAGTATTTTAGTGAAAGACAAAAAGGTCTTTTTTTTTTTTTTTTTTGACAGGCAGAGTGGACAGTGAGAGAGAGAGACAGAGAGAAAGGTCTTCCTTTGCTGTTGGTTCACCCTCTAATGGCCGCAACAGCCTGCACACCGCGCTGATCCAAAGCCAGGAGCCAGGTGCTTCTCCTGGTCTCCCATGGGGTGCAGGGCCCAAGCACTTGGGCCATCCTCCACTGCACTCCCTGGCCACAGCAGAGAGCTGGCCTGGAAGAGGGGCAACCGGGACAGAATCCGGTGCCCCGACTGGGACTAGAACCCGGTGTGCCGGCGCCACTAGGTGGAGGATTAGCCTAGTGAGCTGCGGTGCCGGCCAAAAAGGTCTTGATTAAATAGTGAGCTCTATCATGTCCAGGCACAGGAAGACTTGATACGGTAGAGACAACCAAGTTTTCTATAGATTAAGTTAAATTCTTTTTTTAAAAAAGATTTATTTATATATATTTGAAAGTCAGAGTTACACAGAGAGGAGAGGCAGAGAGAGAGAGAGAGAGAGAGGTCTTCATCTGGTGGTACTCCCCAATTGGCCCCAAAGGCCGGGACTGCACCGATCCGAAGCCAGGAGCCAGAAGCCTCTTCCAGGTCTCCCACGCGGGTGCAGGGACCCAAGGACTTGGGCCATCTTCCACTGCTTTCCCAGGCCATAGCAGAGAGCTGGATTGAAGTGGAGCAGCTGGGACTTGAACCAGCGTCCATATGGGATGCCAGCACTGCAGGCGGCAGCTGTACCTGCTACACCACAGTGCTGGCCCCAGTTTAGTCTTTATCTTAGCTTGTTTGTGTATATGGTGGGTGGTGAGAAATGCCCAACTCAAATGGCAGTCCTGATTGTGGGGGAGGTACTACTAGCCTAGGAGTTAAAAATCAGCACACAAGCTGCTCCCAGTCACCTCGTCGTCCTGGACAGGTGAGTTCACCGGGACCAGCTGGAGCCTGTGTTGGAAGGGAGAATGCATAGGTACAGTTCAGGCTGAGAGGGGTGGAAAGGGGTGCGGGGTGGGCAAGCTTGGGGAACAGCAGGTTCTCGGTGCCTAGACATGCAGTGAGTGGAATGCGTGTCATTTTTCAGTACTGCAAACGCTTGATGGAATCGGCACTTTTTTTTTAAATGCCTTTGTGCAGGGTGGTGAAGTAGAGTGCGAAAGTGAGAAACTAATGATTTTTCGGGTGGGCAGGGGTGCCTGTTTGGTGTGTGGCACTTCACTCACTCAGTGGGGGTGAGCTTTGGGTCTCTGCACGGCGTGGAAGCCCA